GAAGAGAGACGTCGGGCACCACCATATTCGGGAACCTCGTCATGCATATCTGCCCAGATTCTCGACCACTGGGCGGACGATGTCGTCCCACAACTCCATCAAGGCTTTTGTCAGTGCTGGTCTACTTGTGCGTTGGAATTTGATCACCAACATCTGGAGTTTCTCAAGATTAGTAGAGAGTTGAATACTAGTCGGAGGTTGCTTGTGTGGGATAATAATGGCATCGCAAGACGACTTGCTGGCGATGAGCACGATGATAGGCCCATCACGAGCTGCATCTTGAAGATCGGAGAACATGGGAGGAAGTAAGAAGCGAGAGAAGTCCTCGATCTTCCGGATCTCCTCTACAGCTCTATTCCAGTCCTCCACTAGACGTCTATACCGGGTTGCTTCTGCTTCTACATCAACTCTTGGAGTCCCTTCTAGATGGCTCGCAGGAGGTTTACCGAGGAGGGAGCTGAGATCTCTGAATCTCTTCATCAAGGCCACTGCATGATCGCCGCGAGTCTGGAGGCTATCAAGAGGAGTGCGCAGTCGTGTCATCTGGGTCCAGATGAGAGTCCTGCCTTGTTCCAACAGCTCAACAGCACGACACACGTCACCACTACGAAGAGCACATGACGCAGCATTCACGGCAAGTGTACTTGGGAATCCCTTCATGACATTACAACAAGACGACACTGAGGCTGTTACAGACATGTAAGTGTCCGCATGAAAGTCGCATATGCCTCCAGTTCAGTACCATGTGAATGTTGACTAGCATGGTGAATCAAGCGTAGACTTGCTCGTAGGCGATGTAGCAAACCTCCAGAGATAATATTTGCTGCTGCCTTGAGATGATCCATGGCAGCATTCAGAAGACTGTCAGCATCACCTGCGCCAGTGCCTTCAAGTCCTGATTGATGGAACAACAGATAGACGGTAGCTAGTGAATTATGGACCATTGATCGATGAGGATCATGTTGTGTTAACAGAGTCAAGGCACAGTGGAGATGCTCGCGTGACTTATTGAGGTCTTCACCATTACCTCGGTGCTCGAAGCGGGTGGAGAGTCCACTCACAAAATTATTCAATAACTTGGGCCGATCTGTGTGACCGACAGGGCACAAAGCCAGCGCTTCCCTCTGAAGTGCAATAGCCTGATTCAGGTCTTCGTCGTCGCCTCGGTGATGAAAGCGGATGGAGAGTTCATTCACAAGACTACCCAATGACTTGAACCGATCTGTGTGACTGACAGGGCACAAAGCCAGTGCTTCCCTCTGGAATGCAATAGCTTGATTCAGGTCTTCGTCGTTGCCTCTGTGATGAAAGCAGGTGGAGAGTTGGCTCGCAAGATTATTCAATGACATGGACCGATCTGTGTGACTGACAGGGAGCAAAGCCAGCGCTTCTCTGTGAAGCGCAATAGCCTCATCCAAATCTTCGCCGTTGCCTCGGTGATCAAAGCGGGTGGAGAGTCCATTCGCAAGACTACCCAATGATGAGGACCTGTTAAGACCGTACTCAAGTAGTATCGGATCCGAAGGGCTTCGGCCTCAGCTCGTGCGCTGTGCCCCTTTCCCGAGTCTTGCCCCTTATTTCAGAGAGCTAAAGTATCGCGTATATAGAGTAACGGCCAATCCAGATCGGATCCGGACTAGAAACTAACGGGTGAGGACTGTCCGAAGACAGAGGCGGATATGTAGACTATAGGAATCTATCCTAAGTCTCGGAGTAGACAAGAGTAGCGTACTCAAGTCTGGATGGATAACGGAGGGACTCAGAGTCCAGACGGAATGAGTGCAATCTAAGATGATATTCGAACTGATCTACTACAGCGCATATACAAAGGTTTATATACTACGGATAGCTAACGGAATGATCAATAAGCAAAGTCTAAGTGGAGCGTATTGGTAAGTTGGATGGATCACGAATCATGAACCGGGAATGAAGTACAAGTAAAAGCGGATTCGTAAGTGTAGCGGATCAGTAAGCATAGCGGATAAGTAAGCAAAGCGGAAGTAAGCAAAGCGGAAGTAAAGGATAACCGGTATACCGGTGTACAGGAATACCGAAAGGAGATGAACGATAGTTAGAGTTATATGAACAGGAAATGAAATAAGAATCAAAGCGGATCTGTGGACCGGACGATGGATATGTTCATCGGATCTGGATCGGATCTGAGATCCAGATCATCGGATCTGTAACCGGATATATGGTATATGACAGTATCCCCCCCTTAGGGCCGATCCCTAGAGGCACAAGAATCAGTGATCCGGAACGGATGGTGTGAGTGCGAGACAATGGAGAAGCTGATGGGAGAAGTTGCTGAGTTCGGATTCTGACAGATATACGGATGCCAAAGCGTCGCAGGGTGTTCCTTCCTTTCCCTACTTTTTCACTACCACTAGCTTATCTCAACCATGACTGATAACGGATCCGGCTCTAAGAAGACCGCTAAGCAGACTCTGGCGGATATCCAGGCCGCGCTGGCTGCTGCTGAGGCCGAGGTTCAGAAGGAGGAAGAGGCTGAAAAGCTGAAGCAACAAGCGGAAGAGGCGGAACGGAAGCACTTGGCAGGGATTAAGAAGATTGAACGGGCTGAGGCCCGAAGGGAAGCGGAGGAGGCTAGGCGCAGGGCTATAGTAGCGGAAATGGTGAGTTATGACTTGTTCTATCGGATCCGTCCCTTATCGGATCCGTAGTCTCGCGCCATCTCAGCGGATAAGGATGGGGCTTGTACCCGCTGCACTAAGAAGGGTCGGGCCTGTCTGTGGTCCGATGCGGATAGCAATTCCTTGGTAAGTCATCCTTGAATCTTCGGATCCGTGACTCTTAACATTCGGATAGATCAAGGCTTGTAACGCGTGCCGGAAGGACAAGGCTCCTTGTCCCGGACGACCTGGAACCGTTATGGATTCCAAGTCTAAGAAGAGGCAGCGCGCTGCTGAGAACCCATCTCCGAGAGGCAAGGGTAAGAAGCGCCAGCAGAGTCCAACTCCGGATCCGGATATGAAGACGGTAGTAGCGGATGAGGTGGAAGTGGAGTATGATGATCAGGCCTGGGTCGCGGCCGCTAATAGCATTGTAGCGGAACTGGCTCGGACCAACGGATTGCTCCAGCAGAGCATCGGAGCGGCGGGAGGGAGTAGGACTGCTATAGAGCGGATGAATACTAACTTGGAGGCGTTTTTGGAGCAGCAGAGGGAGTTCCAGACCATCCTTCTTGAGGGGATCCGGAATGGAATCCGGATTACAGAGGCGGCTCGTTCTGAGGCCACTGACAAGGACGTTGAAGAATCCGGATCCGGATCCGGATCGGGTGGGGACATGGAGATGGATGGCTGAGGATTTTCGGATCTGCCTTCTCTGCTACTAATGTACTTGTATATCCGCTTTGTATATTCATTGTATAGCAATAGGACCGGGTTTGTCTGGATATGCAGTGTGGAAATCCGAGACTAGATCGGACGCGTTTCCGAGTTCCGTGGCTAGTAGCCATGAAGTCTCTTCGTCTGTTCCTTCGTATCCGGACCATCGGACGAGGTATAAGAGTTGGCATTGTCTTCTACGACGGTCCAGCTTAGAGTCTAGGATTTCGGATATCTCATATTCTGGTTCTCCGTCGACTTCGACCGGAGGTGGAGGAGGCTGGATCCGATTGGGAATTGTGTTCGGAACGGATGGTTCTAGCTGTGAGACATGGAAGACGGGGTGGACGGATTTCATGGATTCGGGAAGTCGGATGGTAAAGGAATGGGTACCCAGACGGGATATGACTTCAAACGGACCTAGATTCTTTTCCGAGAGTTTCTTAGACGGACGCGTGGACCGGAAGTACTTAGCCTTGACAAAGACTTGGTCTCCGATATTGATATCCGGAGCAGGTTTCCGTTTGGCGTCCGCAGGTCCTTGATATCTTTCTTGGGCGTGAGCCATTTCTTCTCTAAGGAATTGGTGAAGGTCGTCGAGGTCTATAGCATAGTCGCGAGCGCGGATGGAGGATAGATCGCGTTCCGGATGGACGGATATGTTCGGATGATAACCCTTATTAGCAAAGAAAGGCGATACTCCGGTAGTAGCACTTGGAGCGTTATTGTAGGCAAATTCTGCTAAGGGAAGTAGTTCCGACCAGTTGTCCTGTTGATAATTGCAATATATCCGAAGGTATTGTTCCAGGGTTTGGTTGGCACGCTCGGTTTGTCCATCCCCTTCCGGATGATATCCGGATGTGAAGTGGAGGACCATATCCAATGCTTTTCCTAAGGATCGGAAGAAGTGGGATACAAACTCTGTACCGCGATCCGAGGTGACATGGGACGGAACTCCGTGCTTGGAAAACACGTGAAGTAGGAATAGACGAGCGAGATCCGGAGAGGTAATGGTATCGTGAGTCGGAACAAATATTGCTTGTTTGGATAAACGATCTATGATAACGAGGATGGCTGTAAAGCCTGATGAGTCCGGAAGTTGCTCTATGAAATCCATGGATATGGAATTCCAAGGCTTTTCCGGTATGGGTAGTTGCTTGAGCAATCCATAGGGTTTATGTCTCGGAACCTTGGCTCGGGCGCAGGTAGTGCAGGACCGGACGTAGTCCTTAACATAGGTGCGTATACCCGGCCATGTATACTCGCTGTCGGATGAGGTCTAGGGTTCGGTTTTGACCAAAATGTCCGGATAAGGGGTGATCATGAGTATTACGGAGGACGCGAAGTCGAAGGTTATCGGATTCTGGGACATATATACGGTTGTCGCAACGGAGGAAACCCCTATCGTCCACTGTCCATCTCGGATCTGAAGGTACCGGAAGATGGTTGGTTGCAATAGGGTCATTAGGAAGTGCGGTCAGGATGTCTTTCCGAAGGTCATCAATATCCATTAGAACAGCTGCTCTAAGAACCGGAGTTGCTAAGGTTGAGGCTCGTAGGGACGAAGCTAACTGTTCGGACGTGAATACCGGACGGAAGTTATGAGGGTTAACTCGAGCGTAGTCCTTATCCCCCTCTTTGGGATAGACGTCCCAGCGTCTAGTAAGGGAATCCGGTTTAACTCCGAGTTTTCCGGGACGGAAGCGGATGACAAGATTGAACTGATGGAGGAATTCCGACCAGCGGGCCTGACGGCGAGAGAGGAGTTTGGTAGTGGCGAAGTACTCAAGGTTCTTGTGGTCCGTGACAACATCTACAGGCTCGGCCGAGCCTTCTAGATAATGTCGCCAGGTCCGGAAAGCTTCGTATATAGCTAGAAGTTCCTTATCGTGGGTGTCATAGTTAAGTTCCGGAGCGGTTAGCGTTCGAGAGTAGAACGCTACCGGACGAAGCTCTGAGTCCGGACATACTATGGATAGTATTCCAGCTATAGCGTAGTCAGAGGCATCGGTTTCCACAACTATAGGAACATCCGGCATCCAGTGCGTAAGCACCGGAGCCGTAGTGAAGGCTTTCTTGAGTTCTTCGAAGGATTTCCGACATTCATCGGAAAAGTTCCACGGAGCATCCTTGCGTGTAAGCCGTGTTAACGGAACCACGATATCCGAGTAGTTGAATATAAACCGTCTATAGAAATTTGCGAATCCGAGGAAGGATTGGATATCCTTGACTTTCTGAGGTTCCGGCCAGTCAGTAATAGCTTGGATCTTATCGGACGACATAGTTAAGCCGTCCGGAGATAGGAGATATCCGAGATATTCAACGGAGGTGGAATGGAATTCGCATTTTTCGGGTTTGGCATAGAGACGATGTTTACGGAGTCGACGGAGTACTTCTCGGACGTGTTGCTTGTGGGACGCAAGGTCATGGGAATAGATGAGGATGTCGTCCAGATATACGATAACACATACATCCAGCATATCAGCAAACACGCTATTGACAAAGCGCTGGAATGCTGCTGGAGCGTTAGTGAGACCTTCCGGCATCACCAACCATTCATAGGAGCCATAGCGCGTTCGGAAGGCAGTCTTCCATTCGTCCCCTTCCGCTATCCGGACAAGATGATAAGCGGATCGGAGGTCGATTTTGGTATAAACTTTAGCACGGCTCGGAGAGTCTAATAGGTCGGCAATGAGGGGTAATGGATATCGGTCTTTCTTAGTGATCTGGTTGAGTCCACGGAAATCCACACAAAGGCGGAGGGATCCGTCCTTTTTCTTGACAAATAGGACCGGAGCTCCGTGAGGAGAGGATGAGGAGCGGAGGAGTCCAGAGGCAATATTTTCATCAAGAAACTTCCGGAGGGCTGCAAGCTCGACCGGGGATAGAGAATAGATAGTTCCGAGGGGAGGACTAGTTCCTTCTTCCAGATCTATGTTTAGATCATAAGGACGATGTGGAGGAAGCTGACCAGCCTTTCCCTTGTCGAAGACATCCGCAAACTCGTGATAGTCCGAAGGAATTTGGGATAGATCCGGAGGATCGGACGATAGAGAAGCGGATCGGAGATCGACACCGGATGGTCGAAGGTATATACTGAACTGGACCGATCCTTCTAACTTGCAGGCCCGGCAAAAGGCAACTGC